AGCGGGCGCGTCCGGCCGAGCTGTTTGCCCGAGTGAACAGAGGGAGGCACCACGAAGCTGCTTTCCTGGCACGAGGCCTCTGCCCAGCCTGGCTGCGATTCCAGCGTGCCAGGGCCTGTGCTAACGGCCCCCCTCCCAAGATCTGCTAACCCTCCCAAAATCTGCCAGCCCTCCCCAGCCCTGCTGACCCCTCCTCGGATCCACAAACCCTCCCCAGCCCTGCTGACCCCCCCCGGCCCCACTGGCACCTTGCACTTGAAGGGCTTCACCGGGGAGTGCACGATCATGTGGGTCTTGAGCGTCTGCTTCTGCACGAAGGTCTTGAAGCAGATGTGGCGCTGGTAGGAGCGTCTGCTTCTGCACGAAGGTCTTGAAGCAGATGTGGCACTGGTAGGGCCGGACGCTGGTGTGGATCAGCATGTGCCGCTTCATGTTGGCCTGCAGGGTGAACTCCCGCCCGCACACCTCGCACTTGAACTCCTTCACGCCCTGCAGGGGGGGGCAGACGTGGGCACAGGCATGGGCACGGGGCAGAGCGCTGCCCCACGCTGCCGGAGTGGCACGATCGTGGGCACAGGGCCCGGGCACCCTGCTCTGGGGGACCTGCTGGAGATGGGGGGTTGGATGAGATGGTCTCCAAAAGGTCCCTTCCAGCCAGCACCATGCTGGGATTTGGAAACCCCTGAGGGCATGGGATGGGCTCCTCACGCTAAACTGAACTTCAGGGACTGGACCACAGGAATTAGGGGGAGAGTTGTCCTTATCAGACCATCTGCACCTTCCCCAGGGCATCTTCTGCTCCGGTCTCCCTGCAAGTGCAGAGTGGGCGTTCCTGGGAGCCTGGGGCCACCTCTGTACTGCCCCGGGGGGTGGAATTCCCCCTGCCTGGTCCTGCCTCCTGCCCCCCCCAGCACTAACATGTCACCCCCTCTGGAAGTGCATTTGCAGCACCTGGAAGACCCAGTGTCAGGGTGCACAGCTGTGAGCCCTGCTCTGAGAGCCAGCCCTGCTCTCCAGCTCAGGACATCTGCTCCCCCTTGGAAGAACTGCTGGGAAAGGAAAAACCCCTCACTCACAGCCTGCAACTGGCTGGGGTCCCCCAAGTGACCCTGAACACCCCTCCCTCAGGAAAGAAGGGGCTGGGCAGCCCCAGGGCTCCTGCCCATAAAATAGAATCGTTTTGGTTGGAAGAGACCTTTCCGATCCTGGAGTCCAACCGTTCCCCAGCACTGCCAGGTCCCCACTGCCCCGTGTCCCTCACACCACATCTCCACGGCTTGGAAACCCCTCCAGGGCTGGGGACTCCACCACTGCCCATGGGCAGCCTGGCACAGCCCTGGACAACCCTCCAGGGCAACAAATTGTTCCTCAGGGCCAAGCTCAACCTCCCCTGGGGCAACTTGAGGCTGTTTCCTCTCATCCTGTCCCTTGTTCCTTGGGAGCAGAGCCCGACCCCCCCCTGGCTCCAGGCTCCTGTCAGGAGCTGTGCAGAGCCAGAAGGTCTCCCCTGAGCCTCCTTTGCTCCAGGCTCAGCACCCCCAGCTCCCTCAGCTGCTCCTCCCCACACTTGGGCTCTAGACCCTTCCCCAGCAGCTTCGTTGCCCTTCTCTGGCCACTCTCCAGCCCCTCAAGGTCCTTCTGGGAGGGAGGGGCTATAACAAAGCCCTTTCACTGTTAATCAATGATCCCCTGTGAATGCCAGCCACGGGCAACTCTGCCCACCCATGCCATCCATCTCCCAGGACTTTTGGGCACCAGGACA